AAGGTCGGAGATTGATTTCATGATCACGTGCGTTTAATTATTCCTTGTCAATTTCGCCAAAAAAGTGTGGACTCGTGAACCCGGCTTGCATGAGTCATACCCAGATCATCACAAAGATACCCCGAGTTTTAACGACGGGTTGTTCATTCACCCGTTCCTGTGACATATGGTTTAATTATTCCCGTGGGAAACACGTTTCGGTTATTACGGTACCTCTGACGTGGTTTTATTTTGTTGTGGCTTCCTCTTGATTAATTAGAGCCGAATTCTTTTTTCTTTTTTTTTCGCAGCAACACTATTTAATGACTTTCGGATATTTACCTCAGTCTGATTTCGAGATCGGGAACCTTAGGACGGAAGAAGAATTGATAAATGCCATCAAGGAAATGCAGGTGAGTGAATTTCTTCTATTTACGCCAATTCGATTGGAAAGTATCGCTTGAGGGATTGGATTCTCCGTCCCATTGCTTGATGTTCATTGCTCCAGCAAAGGCATCGTTTTTTGAATGCAGGGCACCAACATTCTTTGGGGTCGTTATCCTAAGAATTGGCATTTTGAAAGCATTGTTTCCATTTTTCGAATTTTGTAAGCCGGTTTCTTTGGGGCAAGTTACCGTTCAATCAGCATTTTAATTTTGGAACTGTGTGCGTGAAGAAAATGAAGACAAGCTTCGACTCGAACCTGCCTTTGTAATCAGCATTTTGGAGAAAGAGTCAAAAATGGCCCGCAAAAATTATAGTAAGCATGTCCTGATGAAAAAAAATTTGCCTGTAACTGGTATTGTATTGTATCATCATTGGTATTTTTGAGGAAGGTGCAGCACTGACAATGAGCAAGAATTATGACTGGTGCTTTTGAACACAGCTTTTTAATTGTCATTTTTGATGTAGACTTTCTTTTGGAATGGCTGCAGTAGTGAAATTTACGTATACAGTGCAATCGTTTCTGTGTATGGTACTACAGTACGTATATTTTTCTGATAATTTCACTCATTTTTGAAAAAAAAAATCCCCCTTGTGAAAAAGTTTCCGCATGTGTTTTTCCCGTCTACCCTTTTTGGTCCATCCCGTACTTTTTGTGAATCATTGTTGCAAGGGGATGGCCTCTGACTCACTTACGGGAAAAACCCTCCCACGTGAAAATGACTAAAACTCGGGATGTTGAATAAAAAGTTTCGTTGGGTGGGGTGTTTCTCTGTCTCTTTTTTCTTTTCCTTTTAGACATTCGCTGGAATTCCGGCAACTGGGAAAATCGATGAGAAGACGTTGAAATTGATGCACACTCCACGTTGCGGTTTGCCGGACGTGGACAAGTCGTTCGGAGGTGATAGAACGCGACCCAAGCGCTATTTGCTGCAAGGACAACGATGGCCACGCACGGCGTTGACTTGGACGTGAGTTGAATACGGCATATTCTGTAAATTTTTAAAAAATATATAATAAATTGTGAGGGAAGAGAGAAGGATGGTTTTATGTTCCGTCACAGTTGTAGGAATTTCCGGAAGGAGTTGACTGTGTTTTTTTTTGATGACTTATCTCTGGCAATTAATTCGGAAAACAAAAGGGGAGATTGTTTTTGTGTCGGTGAAACGGAAATAATCGTACGTGCAGCTGCTCTTGATGGAATTCCATGCGTCTCTGAATGAATAAAAAAATATTTCGAGGACAATCGACCTTGATTAGTTGCTGTAGAATTTTAATTTTTTTATAGATGACGCTTCGTAACTTCCTAACTTTTTAAATGACCCAAGATTTAATTCAAAAGTTGTTTTGTAGGGGCGGGTTCGAATTTATTTGAAGTGGGGTTGAGCTGAAAAAGCGACGATCAGAATACAGTACACCAGACATTTTTTTTCTACCTTCCGTGAATGGTAGTGAAATCTTGAAAAGTGTGATCAGACGACCTTGAAATTATCACTTTGAACAACGCCTCAAATAAATTCAAACGAAACCAAGACAAGGCGTCAATCCTTGACGTGAGACTTTTTTTTACATACTGTACAATAAAAGGCCGCATTTTCTGGTAAACTTAAAAAAATGTGAATGGTAATATTCTGGGGCTTAAATGACCTCTTAAATAAGTTAAAAGGCTGCTGAACTTGAATGCAGGGGTTCATTTGCCCAATTAAGTCTTTCACTTCCTTTACAACACAAATTTATGGGGTTTTTGGTTTTTTTCATTTTTTTTTTTCAAGAAAATAATGGTGAACAGGCCACAGAAAATTTGACGTATGGAGGTTTGAGGGGAAAAGCTTTCGACTTAGGGAGGTTTTTACTCTATTAATTTTAAGGGGATTCAAATGGGACCTGAAAAAAATTCGACTTAGGGGGGTATTCGACTTAGGAAGGTTCGAGTTATCGAGGTTCACCTGTAATTGTTTTGTTTATGTGCGTGCTAGGTAAATATCAATGCGACTAAAACGATAATATGTGTGAGAAAACCTGATTCGCAGCTTTCTAATTCATCGAATTAGGAAGATTCACTCCAGATGTGTTCAAAAATATCTTCATTGAATGGAATTTGTTGAGAAATCTTCACGATTTAATATCCTGGTTGTTGATGTATTATTTACATCAACACGTTTATTTCATCATATCAGTGGAGGAAGAAAATCAAGTAAATATGATCGGAATACAGCATTAATTTATCTTGCTTATCTGATGGGTTTATCAGGAATGGTTCATTTTTTCAGCTTTCTGTAATTCAGGAAGAAAATCTCGTTCCTTCCACATTTTAATGCAGTTTATGGTTATTACCCATCCAATTCTGCCGTACTCGATTGCATCATTTTCTCCGCTGCTTTGCAGATGTCGCCTGAAATTTTTAATTTTTTTTTTCAGGTCAGAATTTATTTCTTGGGTTAGTATCACTGCATATTGTTCTGGGTTACTTGAGGGTTCGGTTTGTTTTGTTTAGGTCAAGTCAGGGTTGTTTGAGTATGGTTACATCAATGACGCGACATCTGCTTGACATCCCTGAAAGCGAGATCTAGCTTCGAAATTAATGAAACTGGAAGCTTTTTCATGGTTTTGGATATCCCAAAGTCTGGTTTTTCTCAGAACTGGGTAATTTCCGCCTGATTTTCGGGCGGATGGTTCCAAGTCAGTTCCCGGTTTCCTCCGCGTTCCGTAACAGTTCTCCCCTTTATTCCAGAATAACAAACTTCACCAAAGACTTGGCCGAAGAGGACGTGAGGAATCAACTGGGGCGTGCGTTGAGTATATGGGCGAAGGAAAGCAAGCTCACTTTTACCTACATTCCTACGTATGCTGTGAAAAACGCAGAAAACGAGGCGGATATCGTTGTATCCTTCCACAAGTGAGTGCAGTGCAGTGCAGTGTATGGTTACTGATAACGCGATGGTAGATTAGGAATAATAGAGTTCCCCAACCTTTTCGGACCCCGCGGATCTGCAAATGTCCGTAAAATTTTCCGCAGACCTACAGGCATTTAAAAAAAAAAGGACTATATTGAGTTTTAAAAAAAAACAACAGGAAATGCATTGGCGTAAGAAAATTGTATGAACGAATTCTTAAGCGAAGATGTATTACAGTATTTTCTTCTACTGGAAGTGAGCAGACGGCAAAATGAACAATGTTCAACTCTTGGCTATTTTAAACTTCAACTTTCTCCTCAAATTTGGTCTGTTTGAAGTCCTCCAACCAAAACTCTTCTTGAGAAAATTTGATGTAGAACCAATGCTGCAGTTATAGTGGAATGTCTTTAAACCAGTGTTACACAACCTTTTTGGGCACGCGGACCGGCAAATTTTCATACAATTTTTGGCGGACCAGCAATTTCCCAAAACATTTTTTTGCAGACCAGCTAAGTTTCATAAAATGTTTGCAGACTCACAAAAGTTTTGCTTGGAAGATTAAATGACGGGGATTTTAAAGTTTCTGCTTCTTCGCAAAAATTGAGTCAAGCACCAATGAAGCAGCTATAGCAGAATGTCATAAAAATTAGAAAGGTTTCTCAGAATGAAAAATTGCGAACAATTTATTTCAGCAGGTGAAAATTTGTGTGGACTGTTATTAGGAGAAAAACCAACTTTTATCTTTTTTGTCCAGATAATTTCAATTATCATTATTTATTCTTCCTAAATTTTCGGTAAAAATAACAGACCTAATCCGTACTTTTGATCAATGTATTGTGCTGAAAATTTCCCACGGACCATCAAAAAAAGCTTCTGCGGACCGGCGCGGGTCCGCGGACCACGGTTTGGGGAACACTGCGTCAAACAAATAGAAAGCTGGGCTTCAAGGAAGGTTTCTCAGAATTGAAACGTGAAATAATTTTTTTCAGCGGTTGAAAATTTGTCTGAAGTCTTAGAAGAAGAAAAGTCCACTTTTTCAGATACAGTAGTTTCAACTGCCATCGTCTTTCCAAAATTACAGAAAAACAGCCTTCATTACTACTTTTGACGAATGTATCATGCTGAAGAAAATTTTCCGCAGACTACAGGGTTTGCAGACCTTTGGATTAGATTAAAAGATTGCTGATGAGGCTAGGCTTATATCGACGATGAAATCTTGGTAATTATTTGTTCGCGGTGAAGTTGCGGAAAAGCGAGACGAGTTTCGCGATACGTAATTAATCATTTTTTTTTTCATTTCGTTCATCACGATATTAAAAAAATTAACTTTTTTTATCCTAATAATTTCGAGTGAAGGCCTCGTTTTGTTCTGACGCGTGTTTGTGTGTGTGTGTGTGCAGGGGTTATCACGAAGATGGATATCCGTTTGACGGCGAGGGCGCGATTTTGGCTCATGCGTTTTTCCCTGGCACTGGTCGGGGTGGCGACGCACATTTCGACGACGAAGAGCGCTGGAAGGGCAAGCGAATCGACGGCACGGAAGGGAGTAAGTTGTTTGATTATTTATTTTTTTTCAAAGGCGTAATTAATTAAACATGAACGAGAGAAAGAACTAACCTAACCTGACCTGAACTAAGCTTACCAAACTCCGGGCAACCCGAAGCAACATCATACGATTATTTGAATATAAACATTGATCTGAGAAACCTTGCAAAATTCGGGCGACATCTGCGCAGCAGCGGAGTAAACGCGGACGTTGAGAGTTGGATTGGGAGGAAGTGCAAATTGCATTGGAAGGAACAAGATTTGCTTTTGTGAATTGTTGAAAAGTGAAAAAAACGAGACCATTTTTTGATGAACAGTAAATAAGCCTGAACTTTTATTCATTTTTCCAACTTCACTCATTTGATCCAATAAATGTGTTCCCGATTCTACGTCAATCGGTTGCAATATTTAAAAAACCGGAATATTGAAATGAGAAGATTCAAGAGAGACTGTATCAATAAATTATTCTATTTTTGGAGATAGTTTTATTGAATGGTGCTCATTCGAGGAATTGGAAAATCACGAATCTTCGATGCCTTCATGCCTTATACAGTACAATACACTGAATACAGTACCGTATTTTGGTTTTAGTCGCATAGTTGTAGTTAGTTGTATAGTTATGTTTTCTTAGTACGCGAAAATAAAACTGAGATAAAACACTGTGAATCAAGTCGTCGTGTCTCAAATCGAGGAATGATTTGTTATCCTGGTTATTTATGTGTTTACGTGATCCACAAATCGTCAGCTGTTCTTCAAGTTCAAAGTGATAATTTCAAGGTCGTCTGATGAGGCTTTCAGAGATTTTCCCACCTCTTCTGAAAGGTAAAGAATAAAAATGCTGATATGTGTTGATCGTCGCTTTTTCAGCTCAATTCCGCTTAAATTAAAATAAAACCCATGCCGGGATTTGGTGTTTGTTTCGGTAGATTTATTTTGGCTGGACTTCTTGACATTGTTGCTCTTTTTGGTCCACAATCTGCATTTTTCAATCCCCTGAAGGGCCGTAAAATCCAAGGGAATTTAATTTAAATTCCCGTTTATAGATTCGATTTTTTATTAGATTGAAAATTTCCATCGAGTTCGATTCCTAGAAGAGAGATATTAAAACATGTGCTCATTTTCCTGTTAGACCGGAAGTTGATGAATCTGCCTTCTCTGTCCTTTTTTTTGAAGCGATGTTCGTTAAATTGCTAAATTCCAAGAAAGATTTTTGCTCGACCGCATAAACTTTTCTTTTTCTCGCGCTGCAAGTTTTGTCTTCAATCTGCTAAAATAAAAACGTATACTTGAGACTTTGTGAAAATTTTGTTGCGACGTGAACTTGGCGTGTTGGGAAATTGACTTGTAACGCCGTGAAACATCGTTGCAAGTCAGTACAGTACAGTATTTGCGTGCATCAGTCATCAATAATGACGCAGTACTATTTTTAAGCATCAATCATTTCCTCTCGGCATACGAATGAATCCGTTGGATTTGGATGCGCGAGTCGTAATTTAATGGAAGGGAAGCGAGGTGTAATCTCGGCGTGATGTGTGTGTTGACTGATAAAAGCTGACGGCGGAAGCCGTTCGCACTACTGACCCAATTTATGCCAGATTACAGCGATGTAATTCCATGAAGCGACTTGCAAATTACTCGCCGTTTGCCTGTCAAATGATCTAATCGATCCGCGATTTGATTGATGGCCGACTGACGGGGGGGATGCGGAAATGTTAGGCGAGGTCATTGCGGAACGATTGCGTGGCACGAGTACTGATCGGCCTAATTTTTCAGTAGTTACAGTACTTCCTGAAGACGAAGGAGGGGGGAAAAAAAGGTTGCTGGTTTAGTATTTGTGGATGATGTCGATTCTGTGAGTGGATTGTGACATGTGTTGAATGAGAAACGCGGAAGTAAGCTGGAGTTCACGATACGGGTTATGGAAGAAGAAAAAAAAATACAATATTGAAGTCTGTCGGTAGTTCTTTTTTTTTTTCTAGTCACCAACGTTTTATTAATGCTGCAAAGGCTGAATTGAAAATCAGGTATAGAAACGGTGATCTTGCGGAGATTAATATTATATTCTCTGGGTTTGTTATTGAGTTTTTGTTGAATTTCCTGCTCTTCAAGTTGGTTGATTCTAGGACTCTACTGAATTGAAAATTAGTTATAGATAATCTTTTGGAGATTATTATATTCTGTGGATTTCCTTTTTAAAATTTCTTTTGAATTTCCACTTTTAAAGTTGATGATTGTAAGACTCGCTGAATATTAAGTGAGTTTTAGATCAGTGTTACCCAAGCCTTGGTCCGCGGACTGGCAAATTATAGTACAGTAAATATTTTACTGTTGTAAATTTATCAAAAGTCGGGAGGAAGTCTGTTCTCTTTACCCAAAATTTCGGTAGGACTTGAATTCTCTGATGAAAAGAAAAGTTGGATTTTCTCCTTATAACACTTGAAAAAATTTTCACTTGCTGAAATAAATAATTTTAATTTTTCATTCAGAGGAATCTTTCTCCAAGCCCACCTTTCTAATTCTTTGATGACATTCTTGACCGAATTTTTCTTGTAAATAATTGCGTATAATAAGATTTAAGCAAAAATGTGTTGAGTCTGCAAAAATTTTATGAAACTTTTCCGGTCCGCAGAACATTTTTTAGGAATCTGCTGGTCTGCGATTTTTTTTTTTTGCCGGTCCTTGGACCCAAAAAAAAGTTGGGGAACATTGCTTTAGATTATCTTTCGGAGATGATTATACAGTATTCTGTAGATTTATTTTTGAATTTTCATTAAATTTCCCGCTTGTGAAACTGATGATTCTAAGACTCACATAATTTAAAATCAGTCATAAATTATCTTTTGAACAAGTTCATAACAAGTGTTATCTTTTTGTGGATTTCTTTTTGAATTTTCACTGAATTTCCCGCTTTTAAATTCGGGTGGTTCTAAGATTCGCTCTTCGAAGTTTTTTCCAGTCGTAACTTCAAATAATATTGCGGAAAATATTCGAGGCATGGCTATTAATCATTCGAGACAACATCATCTTGGGTATCGGAATCCGACTTTTTTTTTTTAAAGAAGTTTAATTTAAATTCCCGTTCGTAGATTCGATCGGTCGAGGAGGACGTTCTGGAATCTGGGAACGTTTTTTATTAGATTGAAAATTTCCTTCGAGTTCGATTCCTAGAAGACATTTTAAAGCATTTGCTCATTTTCCTGTTGGGCCGGAAGTTGGAGAATCTGCGTTTTCTGTCCTTTTTTTTTAAAGGCGATGTTCGTTAAATTGCTAAATTCCAAGAAATATTTTCGCTTGACAGCAGAAATCAATGAAGGAACCCGAATTAACGAAAATTGAATGCTAAGTATAAATTCGAATTCCTTGTTTAAGAGCTTCTCTTTATTGTATGGGAACCGACCGTATCCAACATATTCCAAGGATGTTCGAGAATTTTTCCAGGATTTGTAGCAGTTTTTCAAGAGCATAGCGAAGAAAAAAATAGTCTATAGCCCCGGGTCGTGTAGAAAGTCGTCCATCAAGACGAGGTGGTTCATAAAAACATTTTTAATTACATTTGCAGTACTTGTGTAGTCCTCTCGGGCATACGAGGTGAGAATACGGTAGCCATTATTGACGGTATTTACTTATTTTCCAGCAATGAGTTTGTTCGCGGTAGCGGCTCACGAATTCGGCCACTCCCTGGGACTGTCGCACTCGTCAGTGGACACTGCGTTGATGTACCCGTGGTACCGTGGGTTCTCGGACAACACACCGCTCCCCACTGACGACAAATACGGAATACAACAGCTGTATGGTCAGTTTTCTTCGTACAATACGTCGTTTTCTCAGTTCCGCATATTTGTTCAAAGCTTTCAGATTGAGATCGATGTTGGGAGGAGGGGAAAAATATGAGGAAGTGTTAGCAGTCGGTCGATTTATGATGTGGTTGTTTGCCTTGGTCATTGCGTCGAGCGGGGATTTTTTTTTTTTTATGGCGAGAGAAGGAAGGTTTCCTCGATAGTTTATCATTCTTCGATTCTTGAGAGTAAATTGGTGTGTTTTGGCTTGTTTTTGTGTGTGTGTGAGTTTTTGAAAAGCCTCCCGAGTTGGATTTAAAAATTAGGTGAAGCTCTTTTTCTCAATCGAATTAAGTTAAATTTCTTGGCATGTTGGGTTCTTCATACTAGTGGACTCTTTCTACAACGATTTTCTCTGAGCAAGCGATTTTTTTTATCCCAAAGGGTTCACTCGCAATGTTTTATGGGTTTTGAACAACGAAATTCTCTCTAAAGCGAATTTTTTCAAGTCCGTTGAATTTCGTTATGGAGTCCACCTACATGATCAAATTATTTCTAAGGCTTTCAAGTTTTTCAACTACGGTTCACGCTATTCAAATGTTCGCTATTGACTCGTCGACCTCGTTTAAAATTTAAGAGCGTGAACTGGTTTTCAAAACAAATTGAGGAAATGATGAATAAATTTTTACAAATGTCAGAGAAAAATACAACGCGTTAAATTCTAAATCTGAAAGGGAAATTTTAGCTTGTTTTTGTAATTGAAAGAAAGATCTCTGTATGGAATTTGTTTTTTAAAATACTGTATAACTAAGTATAATTCGTGAGAAAACCTCAGTATACTTTGATAAAGAAAAATTAAATATTTCCAGAGAAAAATATGGACTATATTGAGTTTAAAAAAAAAAAAAACAGGAAATGCATTGGCGTAAGAAAATTGTATGAACGAATTCTTAAGCGAAGATGTATTACAGTATTTTCTTTTACTGGAAGTGAGCAGACGGCAAAATGAACAATGTTCAACTCTTGGCTATTTTAAACTTCAACTTTCTCCTCAAATTTGGTCTGTTGAATTATTTTCTGCTGAGGATAATGATTCAGGCGACACCTATTCGATACTCCGAAAAGCAAGGGGTGGCGGGGAGGGGGGTTGAAGTGTGAACAAAAAAAAACGAATTTAAAAATGTGATTATCCTTAATATTCGTATGAACAGGGCGAAATGAGGATTCCCCCGACGTTGACACATTGCCGACGTTTCGAACCCGGATTCCGCCTTCGGGAGTTTTGACGACGACGACGACATCGACTACAGCAGCGCCGAGAGTTGACACAAATGACGTCGGGTTGCCGACTCTGCCACCTGGGAGACCCGATCTGTGCGACACTGTGTATGATGCTGTCGCTGTCATCCGAGAAGAGCTTTATGTTTTCAGGGGGCCCGTGAGTCGATGTTCTTCGTCAGAAACAAGATATATTTTTCTGAAAAGTCTTCCAAGGGCAGAATATGAATTTATTTGCTTCATGCTTGTCCTGTTTCCTAAAAAAATTTTCTGCAAAATATTTACGGGATAAATTTTTTTAGGATAATGATTCATTTGCATCACGTTTCTCCTGCATTCGCTCAACTTGAATAAAAGCATCCTGCAAAACATTTTGAGGAAAAGTGATTCCAACAATTTCAGGTTCTTTCGTTTTGAATGATTCTCTGTATAAAAAAATGACTCATCACTATTTTTTAGTCATACGGACGGATTGTTTCAAAAAGTTGCTGTGCATTGAGGTTTCTTACGAAAAGTGAAGCATTTCCTTTCTTTTCACTCAACATTTAATGTGTCGAGGTCCCAGTCCAGTTTACTTTTAATTATTTGCACGAGTATTGCGGCAATAATAATTTCAGACCCACTTTGATTTCCTGAGCCGATCAATTCAACTTCTATTTCTTCGACTTGATTATACAGTCTTTCGAACGCGTTGATTCGTTCACGATTTATGTAAATAATTTAACTTTTCGCCTAGATTTATTTCTTGGCTGTGCAAATCGTATTACTGTACTTGTCTTACGTGGACTGTAATGGAAACTGAAAATATCATTTTAGACTGAGAAAATCGGTTTTCGTTCATTTGCAGTACTTCTGGAGGAAAGGAAAACAAGGAATATATTCCGAAACGCCGACTGAGATCACGCGGTTCTGGTACGGATTACCAGAGAACACCACACACATTGATGCGATTTACGAACGGTTGGATCAACGGATAGTCATCTTTGTTGGTGAGGAGCTAATTTTTTTTTTTTTACTCCTGAGTGTGTTGTAGAAAATCATTACAGAAAAATTTATAGCCGTCGAGAGAATTTTATCGTGGGTAAACAACTATAGGCTTAGGCCATAAAACAGTCTTGTTTTTTTTTAGAATATTTGCTGTTTACTGAGATGAAATAAACTTTTCGATTGAAATTTGTCGTCCGCAAACGCGATTCATTCAAATGTACTTGAAAATTTTCTGAATTTTAATTTTATTCGTTGAAAAACGTCCGTCGTTATTATTTCCAAGTACGCGAGGAGACAGTTGTTCCAAATCAATCGATTTTTTTTTCAAGATTCAGTGAAAAGGGAAAAAGCGCATGACATGAATTGTTTTTTCTTTCCAGGAAAACAATATTGGGTATTCAAAGACAATTCTCAAGAGCCCGGATACCCGAAAAGTTTAACAGCGCTATGGCTTCCCAAAGATTTGGAGCGAATCGACGCCGCGATGGTTTGGGGTCACAATAGCAAAACTTATTTTTTCAGTGGCACGATGTACTGGAGGTGAGTTTCTGGAGTAACCCCTTTTCTTCGGAGAATTTTTTTTCAGAGCAATGATTAATTAATTACATTACCCGGACAGGTATGATGAAGACGCGGGGCACGTTGAGCTTGATTATCCCCGGGATATGTCGACTTGGCAGGGGATCCCTTATCACATCGATGCAGCCACTCAATTTACTGACGGTTTGTTCTCATTTTTTATCTTTGAAAACAAGGGTTTATTTTAATTGATAGTTGCCTGTATTATGATGAAATGTATGCAGTAATTATGGCGCATTAACTGTGATTTCTCGCCGGGAATTGAAACCTGTGTAAGTGAAATTCGAAAGAGTTTCCTTGAAAGGATTATAAATTTATAATACCGTATTCACTCGAGTACGTCCTGTAGCAAAATGTTAACCTTAGTTTTTGCCATTTTCTGTTACCGAAACTTGAATTTCAAATGCTGTACAAAGTTTGGTGAAATTCTAAATGCAAGCCCAGTGAAAGACTGGATTTAACTGTGGTGTTTTCGTTGCATATGAATCGTAAAATCGATAAATATTCAACAGAACTCTGTAATAAATTTCCGGAAGTAGGGAGAATTCGTTCTATTCGACGTGATCCACGTATGACGAACACTTGGATGACGAATTCACTCAAAAATGTGTGCCCAACTGTGATAAGTGCCTTTGTTGTCGCAATTTCTTCGATAAAAAAGATACTTCTGGTACTCTTGTGAATATTGTACTGTAATTCATCACTTTAAAAACAAACAAAAAACCATGACCATCTCTATTCATCCAAGAAACTAATGTACCGATAAAGGCAAGCAAGAGTCTGCTAAACCCTTAAGAACCTACCCTTTTATTTCTCCGAGGACAAGTTTCATGGCGAATTTAATTCTTGAAATCGTTTTAGCGATTTTCCAAGTGTGGTTTTCAAAATGTTTAGGGAACACGTGCTTTTTGAAAAGTACCAATAAAGGCAAGCAAAAATCTGCTAAAGCCTCACGAACCTACCCTTGTAATTCACCGAGGAAAAGTTTCATGGCGACTTCAATTCTTGAAATTGTATAAATGATTTTTCAAACGTGGTTTTTAAATTTCAGGGAAAACGTATTTCTTCAAGGACAAGTCGTACTACGAATTCGACGACTTGCGATTCCGGGCCAAGAACCGCGGCGTGCCTTACCTGTCGGCTCCGTTTTGGCTGGGTTGTCCAACGCGGGCAGAAATGCCCAAGCTCCAGTCCGTCCCGCAGAACCTCAACGAAGACGACGGCGATGATTGGGCCGTCGACAATCCCGGGGGACGTCGCTACGTTGCCGGCGGAGCGTCCTTGCCGCGTCTGCTGTCCTCGTCCTGGCCCCATTCGGCCGCCGTCGTCGTTGTGGTATCCATTGGACTCGTGACGTCGACGGCCGCCGGTTTTGTCTAGTCTGGCGAAGCCCGCCTTTGTAGTGAAGTTGATGCACGAGACAAAGCGGCCGCTTAACCTTGGAATCTCAGCTTTTTAAGTAACCGATTTGGCAAGTTATTATTTTTAACGTTTTTTTTTTTATAAATGGGTTCGAAGTTTGGTTGAACCTTTTGCTTGAGTTCTTGGAGATGAATGCTTGAGAAGATTGGGAAAATCTGATGTATCTCTCCACAGTCAATCTTGTTGATCATCATTTCCCCCTTTCTAAAAAATATTCCCTTGTTCAGTCAACAAAAAAAAAAAAAAAAAAAAAAAAAAAAGATTGTAAGAGGGCTGAATCGAAGCAGATTTTCTCTCGGAAGGGCGGGACGCGACCGAAGATTATTTTCGAATGCAATAATATTGCTTCAAAAAAATTGTGCGTGGGAAATCCTTCATTCGGGTAACGATGAAATTTTTAAAATTTCGTTTATTTATACAGTATTCGAGTTGAGATGTGAATTTTATTGGTCCAGCTTTCAAATTCTAAAATAATTCCTGTTGATTTTTTGTTTTGCTGTAGCACTTGTTCACTCATTTCCATCGCCGGATTCGGCTTCCTGTTCAAACCATGAAACCGAACTGTGCTCCAAAAAATGCTTGGACTTCATTCACCCGGATTGAATCGAAAATCTTGTGCATAAACTAAATCGTCATTCCTGATTGATGAAAAATATGTTTCGCCTTTCAGTAAATTATTAAAAGTTTCAGAAAAACATCACGCCATCCCGCCCAGGATAAAATGTAAAGGAAGCGAATTTGCTAATCCATTCCATGCACAGTGCCGTTTCCTACAGGAAATGACGTGTGCTATCATGTTGTTGAACGTCCTGTATGTCTGGTCAAAAACTAATGCCCCTCAAAAAAAAATGTTTATTGTGTCTTGACTTTATTTTTAAAATTTTTTTAAATTTTTAATCAGGATTTTTTCTGACAAACTAAAATTATGTATGCAAACTCACTACCGGTTTTCGTTGTTTCCTGGAATAAAAATCTGTTTTACTCGCTGGACCTCTGGGAACCCTTCTCGAGGAATATTTCTTCAATGATTCAATGTCGAGAATTTAAGAAAGGGTTCAACGAAAGTTCGAACGGAAACATTTTGGGCGAGGAGTTTTCATTTTCAACAACCTGCGTTGTGAGTGTAATTGATCCTAAGATGTGCTCGAATGCGGAAATGTCTTGCCTGTGTGCGCTTGTTTTTTTTTTTTTTTAGCGGAACCTTCATACCAACAATCGCTTGTCTGTGCTTTTGCGATGAGACGAAAGTATAACTCGTAACACGACCAAAAAAAGGGACGCCTCCAGCGCGAAAAAGAAAAATTCAGCAACTTTTTTTTGTACGACGTGAAATTGACAGCTTGAAAAAATCTCAGCTAGTCTAGTCCTGAGGAAGAAATCCACGTATGACGGAAGCGACCAAGTTCAAAGAGAAAATTACGGAGGAAACGCCAAAATTACTGGATCCGATGGTTTTTTTTCGGAATTTAATTGTGCTGATTATTTGTACATACGGTGGATCACTCGTGACTTGGCGCGGTGTCGAATCAAAAAAAAAAACGAACGAGAAAATATTTTTCTTGACAAAACGGTGTAACGTGAAACCATTATTGCTCTCTAATTTGATTGGCATGTACGAGCTTGAAGCTGCGACACAAACTGTGGGCTATTCGTGAGAGTATTCTGTTTGTGGAAAAGTGCTTTTTGTGCCTTTTGCTGAATAGTCATGGAATTCGCATTTTTCTTCGCGTATCTTGTTGAAGTTGTATGATTATTTGTGTTTCGTGAATTTCTTCAGGCATTCCTTGCTGGAATGACACTTCTTCGCGTTACAAATCCACGTCATCAGATTTTTTTGCTTTGAAAATCTCACCATGTAGTTCAGCTGAGTAAGATGTAACTGAGCCTTCACATTTTTTTGAAGTATAGCAAATAATTGTGTGTAGAAAAATTTCGGTGCTCATTTGTAGAAGCGAGTGAGTGGAGGAAACGTGTTTTATACAATACAAATACCAAACGCCGATAATTGACGCCCAAATACCAAACGCCGATAAATGACGCCCAACGCGGACATTTTCTTTCAATAGATTCAATTTCCCGAGAATCGGGGGAAAATTTGTGCGTAACAAAAATGAGAAACACAAGTACACATGCCTAGAAAAAAGCGGCGAGTCATGAAGAGGGCTTAATAGGACGATTGAATATACAGTAATGTGAAAATTCAGTCGTAAGATTTGTTGCATACATGCGTAGTATTTTATTTACTTGTGTAACCTGTGTTAGACATGTTTGACTATAGAAAATAGAAAAAATTCTATTATTATGAGTCGTATTAAGAGTTTTATGCCCACTCGCGTTTTTCTTGCCAAAAACCCGCGGGCAAATCGTGTAACTTTAGCAGAAGGGAATCCAAAATGAAAGTCAATTAACAGCCTTGTTATTCACACTTCGCCTTTTGGCACATTTACCGGAGAAGCATGACATTTTATCTGATGCGTGAGAAATTGAAATGCTTTCCTTTTCGAAAAATACGTCCAGGCAAGTTGTTTCATAATTTTCAATGTACTGTAATTGTTGAAAATCGCGCGTTGTGGATGCAAATTGAATGTCGGTTCCGCTTTTCTGCTCACGAATATTTGCGCGCACACGTGGTGATATTTCAGGCTTTGAATGTCCTGCCAGGTAAACTGATCTTTGCTTTCTTGGATTGTGAGAAAATGCTCTAGAAAAATTTCGGTGCTCATTTGTAGAAGCGAGTGAGTGGAGGAAACGTGTTTTTCGTGTCCAAAATTAGAGTCGTAGCGAAGCCGAAAGAAAGAAAGCTCATGATTTTGATCGCTTTCCTTTTGTGTTTTCCGCGAATATTGGAGTTGTTCGGTGAGAAAAAAATGTTCGGTGCTCAAAAAGAGATGGGGGAGTTTTTGCATTCTTAGAAAAAATGTCGCCGAATCAAAGTCTGTTCCTCTCGTCTTTCCGTCAGTTGTGCTGTAAATCACTGCCATCGTGACAATTTTTTCGCCGAAATATCGGCCCTTGTTGCGTCTTTTGAAAAAAGAAACAGAAGAGCTTTTCGCGCTGTTCTCTCTTGGAACCAGGTTTGAAGGACTGGGAAAGAAATTTTGTTTTTCGGAAGAACTCTTGCTTCGAGATTTACTTTTGTTTCTTGTGAAATTCTGAGATTTATAGAGACTTTCCAGATGGCGAAGACGTACTTTTCTCCCAAAGAGGAGAATCTTTTTTTGTGTCATGCTTCCAGTACTTCGCGAAAGATGCTAGTTATGTGAAAACCCGAATGTTTCCTGTTGCCAGCTGTGGTTCGAACCGGTGTAGCTTTGTTTTTTGTTCCTTGTTTTTGGGGGTTTGTGTCGTTTCTCTGCTAAAACGCGAGGAAGGAAAGATATTTATTCGCCTTTTGCACATGCGCGTGTTCATTTTCTGAATCTATGATCTTCTTTTCTTTTCAGCGTGTCATTCTCCAGCCAAAATCACAGTGGAGCTGAGATTATTTGAGTTAATGACTGGTTGCCTTTGTTTAGATAATCAAGTGTGATGGGAACTCGAATTTTCCATTGCCTTTTGTGCTGTTTGAACTGCGCTGCTACATTTTAGATCCCCAGATACTGAACTTGAGCATTTTTATTTTATTTTAAAGCTTATAGAATTGTGTTCCCCAACCCGTGGTCCTTAGACTGGCGCTGGTCCTTGCAGGTTTTTTGCCAGTCCATATGAGAAATTTTCTTTATTATAATAATTTATCAAAAGTAGCAATGACATTTTTCATCTTCATCTTGAATTTTGGAGAGACATCGGCAGCTGAAATAATCTGATGAAAAATAATTAGTTTTTCTCCTAATTCAGACAATTTTTCACCTGCTGAAATGAATTACAGTATTTAAATTTTTTATTCTGAGAAACCTTTCCTCCAGCCCACCTTTTCAATTTTATAAAGACATACCACTGTAGCTAATTCATTGATTTTTCTTAACCTAATTTTTGCAACAAAAAAAAAAAACTTTTTAAATACCTGCTATTGAGTCCTTTGAACAAAACGCTTTTGAGTCTGCAAAAATTGTTATGAAACTTTCCTGTTCCATGGAAAATTGTATGGATATTTGCCAGTCTGTGGGTCCATAAAGGCTGGGGCGCACTGATTTATAATATTTAAGAATTATTAAACCTTTCAGTGGTTAAGTCGTACAATATTTTTAATTGATTACCACATTCAAATCAGACCATTTTCAATAAATAAAAAACTAGGTGATTGAAAACATTTTTTAAGTTCCTTCAAATTTAATTTACCTTTATAAGGCTCAACTATGTAGTTCTTGCCTGAAATTTAATGAATATACTGTAGTACTTTTTTTTATTCTGCATTTTAGTTTCTGAGAGTGGGAATAGTAAATGTATTCATAATCAGTACAGTACTTCATATTGTGACTTAACTCATCAGTACCACCATATCCTACTTCAAGTCTCAAAAAATAGTCGACTCTTGTTAATGATTGAGATCACTGTTCCCATTTTTGTTTTCGTGGATTATTTTAGGTTAGGACTATAATTAGTTTCTCAGGGTAATTGATAATTTCTTCCCCGGTAATGGAAGAAACTATTTCATAGGGGTGGTTTTATAGTGGGAGCAAGTTACGCCAAGCCACGCTTTCTTCATCTCTTGTTGAAGACGTGGTTCGTTGGCCTCGTTACGCATCTGCGGGACCGTTGCTTGGTCTATTGACTGACGGACATGGACTATGAGTGAGTTTAGGTTCATGTTTTGTTACCGGACAAAGCTAATATAGGTACAGCACAGCGTTGTGAGAGTTACTGTACTTTTCGTTTCTGTGGTACGTCAATTATCCGAAGAATAAATTAAATTATGAAAAGGTCAGATAATACGGTGGAGTTTTGGCTAGTAATGTCATTGCCATGACAAACATTCTTGTGTTGGTGCCAAGCAAGCAAATGATAATCCAGCTAGCAAA